TCAGTATGTACGTAATTCCTCGGTACAGCGTCACTTGGCAAGTAGGCAAAGTCGACTGCGAATAGAAAAGTACATTGAAGCCACTGAAGTCCAAATCACTATTTCAATGCAAGTTGGGTTGACAGTTGCGATTATCAAATTAGATTCGGGAAAATTGAGTTCAACTTAGTCGTAGTAAACTTCATTTTGGTTGACACCGACATGGCATTAACAAGGGAGAGGAAACATGATAACGATGCGTACTTATGACGCATAACATCGGCCACATATTTTCAAAAAGCACAGATAATACATCTTCCGATGGAATGCATTCTGTTGGCAAACAAGTTCGCGCACACGAAGGCCTTATTCAGTTTTATACGATTTCCGAGTGAGTCTTGCCAACGAAATTAGTAAAATCATTATAATGCCGTCTTTTCCCAAATATATGCGAACTTTGCTCCGTAAACTGAACCACCCCCATGGCGATGTAAAAAAACTCCAAAGCAATAGACATCAACTAGGACCTACTGTTTGGTTTGGGAATAAACACTAATGACAGCCATTAAAAGACTTACGCTTAAATTTGGGGGATTAATGTATGGGTAAACGGCGCATATCTCCTGAAGCAGAGACGCAATCGCTCCATATGAGTGCCACAGGATCGGTGCGAAATCTTGAAAATTCTCCCTTTGTTTACTGAATGCAAAAAGGTAAACGTCGTAAATGAAGACGCAGAATACCATAATTCAAGAAGGGCCTTTTCCCTGGTTTCAGGATTGTTCAATAGCTCAATACATGCGCACAAACTTTCGATACTTTGCCGACTAGTGTTCGATGCGGACTGTGCGAGGTTTACATTGGCAGACAATGGGTTGAAATCCTTCGTCAAATTGCCTCCGATCGGTTGCATCACCCGCACCTACGCCAGCCGACGAACACTAATAAAAGGTCGATAAAACCGAAATACCGCGTCTGGAGGCGGGTCTTACAAGAGAGGAGCACTGTTTTTTAGTGTATAAGGAGTTATCTCTAAACATATCAAAGGAAACTGCGAGTATGATATATTCTCATTCTCTAGCCCACTGTACAGTACAGTAAACTCCGTAGTCTCAGGATCGGATCCATCATGTAGTAGAAGGACCACATGCAAAAGGGGCCGAGGATCACACTAGTAGCTTAACTTACAGATTTAGCTGTGGGCTCTTGGCTCTGCTTATGTGTTGTTTAAATTTATCAATAACCAATTTTTTTT